ATATACAAATACCAGTTACTCTAAGCATAATTTCCATTAGCATCCAGCAATGACTTTGCTGCATGTCCACATGAATGCAGCCCCAGCCCATTGTCCCCCCTTTTCCCAACATCTTAAGGGTATGGGAGATCTCTATAGAACTTTGAAACCTTATCTTTATTCACTGTAATTTAGGATTTTATACCAATGAACTATTCCTTAGTAAGAATTCTGTGAATATCACATCTGTAGTCTTGTTATTTTATACTCTTCTAGAAAATGGAGGCTAAGAGGGTTCAAAGACTTCTGTATTACATTTTGAATAGCACAGCACCTTTGTTCTAAAAATAAATACTTGACTTAAAAATAAATAATCAAGTGGATTCAAAACAGAGGCTTACAGTGCTTTTGAGGATATTCATATATGATCAGCTGTTGAAAGAGCTGCAGTTCAAGAGTACTGAGCTAAGGTTTAGTGACAGGGGTGGTCAGGGATCAGACTCAAAGACAGAACCTTAGTCTTCATTTAACATACAAGAAATAAGTATGGAGGCATCAGTCTAGATGACACAGAGAGATAATACACAATACCAACAGTCTTGAATGTGTTCCAGCACACTGGAATACTGGTGTGGCCAATCTTCAGGCCAAGATTCAATGAGTAACATTGGAGCGATTTAAGTTCATTCTTAGTTGGCAAAGCACTTCAATTCATGCTTATCTTTAACTTGTGATTATTGAAGATAATAAAATTTATGCATCCATTTAGAATTAAGTAAGAACTTTATTGTTTTGTTGAATGGCATCCATAGTATGCTATGAAGAAGGTAGCCCTGCCTGCTTTCACCAAAGGAGACTGTTTTTATATAAGGCTGTGTGGCAAGGTAAAATATGGGGAAAACTTTTTGAAGAAGCTTTCCTCATCCTCACTTCCCACTCCATATCCTCCCACCTCTCTAAATTATCCTTTTTACATCTCAATTGATGGAAAGACAAAGAAACCACTGTAACTGAGGAAAGCTGCAAAGTGTAGAAAAATTGAAAGGAGTAAGACGCGTAAAAGCAAGCCTGGTCCAGTTTGAATATATAAAGCAAAATGAGCAGAAGAAAGCTAAAAATGTACATTGATATTGAAGGATGAATAGTACTATAAGCAACATTGCTGCAGTCTGCTAAAGCATTCACTATAGACAGAAGACTCAAGAAGACTTGGCAAGAAGAATGAATAGAAGAAAAAGGATAAAAAAAAAGAAATATTTTTTTCCCCATAATTATTTTGAACAGTAGAGCTTCTCGCAGTTAGGTGCTTGTACAAATCTTTCTCATTGTTTTGCATGAACTTCAAGCACATGCTAAACACATGATTAAATGTCTTTCCTAAATAAAAGTACTTTTCTGAAATCGGGCTGAAGACAGGAACAAAGAGCTTCCTGAACAGAAATTTCTTTTCTAGACATAGGTCCAGGTTCTGCCATGTGTATGTGTGATGCTATATTTGAAAATAGTGTATGCATGTATCGCAGAGGGAGTACTTAATGTGCTTGAAGCTGGCAGCATGCTTGAGCACCCTGTTAGATTGTGGTGAGAGAGAGAAGGTAAAAGCTGTAAAGGAGAAAGAAAATACTTGTGAAAGGTTTAGGCATTTTTCCAGATTGCCTGTACGTTGTAATGTGCTTACTCTTTATGCTGTAACTTGCTATGTAGACTATTCAGAACAAATTCTGCTCATATATATAATGTAACTGTGAAATTCAGATTTTGCTGGTTTGGGGATCAGGTGACATTTAAGGAAGAATAGCTGGTTTTGATGAGAAGGGAATTTGTTTTTTCATTTATTTTTTGGAGGGAGGGGAGATGTGGACAAACAAGCAGGTTTGACAGCAGGTAAAAGGCCCTTCACATTAGGTTCTTAGGGAATTGAAACCTAAGCTTTAGGAAAAATAGCAGCTTAATTTACTAACTGGTTCATTGGTTTTAGGGGATATAGTGAATATGTGTTTGATTTTAGAAAATAAACATCTTGAAATGAATAAAGCATTAAGTTATTGAGTTCTTGCTTTAAGAATTGAATGCAATAATTTGATTCTTGCTGTGGTCCTACAGAAAATAATAAGTTGAAGAAAACACTAGAAGTATGTATTAGAAGCTTTTATTTCATCCCTCAGATAACCTTATTTGAAAATCTCAGATATCTTTTTTACATCTCTTTCCTTTTTGTATTTCTGTAAAGTCATTTGTTTGAGCTTCAGCTCTCAAATTATTTTACATTTTTAAATGTGCTTTTTACTAGTATTCAGTCAGTCTAGATATGTGACAGTTCTCAAATAAAGAAGGTGCTCATGTCTTTCTTGGTCATACATTGCCATTTGGACAGTGTTCAAGTTTAGCTGAATATTAAAACCTTAGGAGGATTATCCAAATGGTATCTTTAGATCAGTCGTTTTCAACCTGTAGTCTGCCATCTGGGAATCTGGATTATTCCTGAGTGGTCCAAAAATGCACTAAAATCCAAGCCTACTTCAGTTCTTTAAGTTCACTACGTATATTCAATAGAAATGCTTTAAGACTTTGAAAATCAGCAAGGTTGCAAACCCTTTT